GTAAGACTTCCGAGCATAGTCTTCAAATATTTTCAAATAAGATTTTTCAAGTTTCATAGTTTTTGTTTGAATGAGCTTTTTCAAGATAAGATGTTTAAAGTTTCATAGCCTTTGTTTAAACAAGTTTTTTCCAAGATAAAGTTTCATAACCTTTGTTTAAATGAGCTTTTCTAAGACGAAATTTTTAAAGTTGTCAAACCTTTGTTTTAATAAGTATTTTAAGATAAGATTTTTAAAGTTTTAGAGCCTTTGATGAAAAAAGTTTTCATTTCAATTAATTTTTAAAATTGATGAGCCTCTAGTTAGAGAAGTTTTCATTTCAATTTATTTTCAAAAGTTATAGAGTTTCTAGTGAAAAAAGGGTTTTACTCTCAGTTTATTTTTAAAAGTTATAAATCCTCTAATTATAGTATTCTTCTTTTTAATTCATTTTTAAATAGTCATGGAGTCTTTATGAGAAGAGTTTTCATTTCAAATTATTTTTAAAAATTATAGAGCCTCTGGTGAAAGGAGTTATTCTTAATTTATTTTTAAAAATTATGGAGCCTTTGGTTAGAGGAGTTTTCTTTTCAATTCATTTTTAAAAGTTGTAGAGCCTTTGATGAGAGAAGTTTTCATTTCAACTTATTTTCAAAGAGTTGTGAAACCTCTGGTAGGAAGAGCTTTTAAATAGCCTTTAAGTTTATTAAGTTAGTTTTCCAAAACAAAATTAAAATTAAAAAAAAACAAAAATGACAAAAAAAAGTGTTTAGATTAATAGATCCAAACAAAATTGTTTTGTGTGTTTTTACTCTATTCTTAATTCTTAGAAATGTACAAAGATAAGCAGTTATAAGCACCTAATTCTATCCGAATTAATTGAAAAAGATCTAGAATTTTATGTGTTTTTGATACACTTGATTTGGATCGATTCGATCATTTTAAACGAGATTAACTTGTTTGTTAGGTATTAGGCTCATTCAAACTTCATTTTCAATTGTCTATTTTTGGCAAAGTCAATTCAAATATGTATGGTGATTTAGGTTTATGAGCCCAAAGTCTTGATCCAATATTAGGCCCAACCCCATTTTTATTAATCAATTTGTGCTTTAAAAAAAAACAACAATATGCCGATAGCCATCCACAGTTCACCCCACCTGTAATTCCCTATCTCCACTACGACCAACCACTTTACTCAGTTAAAAATCATGTGGCAATGGGATTTTAATCCCTGAAACTAAGGGATTTGGTCCTAAATCAACATAATAAAAATACAGTTAAATCAAAACATAAGAGGCCAATGGGGACAATAATTAAACTTTACTAAAAAAAAAAAAAACCTTCACCCTTGACCTCCTTAGCTCCATCAATGAAAACCACCACCATCTCTCTTGCCACACCAGAACCACTCCATATCCCACTATCCCTAACCCTAGCTGAAACTTACTCATGTCCAAAACAAGTTTAGCCTGGACCAACTGAAACCCATTTAGGTACAAAAACACAAAAAAAAAAAAAGAAAACACACATCCCCAAATGAGGAGAAGCAAAACCGAAAATTAAAAAAAAAAACAATAACAAAAATAAAAAGTACAAAAAATGAGGAGTTTTTGATATTTTCGAGCTTAGGGTGTTGTTGTTGGTTTTAGGCTATGATTTTTTAATGAAAGGGAACCTAGAACAAAGTGAGAGACATAGTTGAAAATAAAGGTTTTTGAAGTACTTGAAGGTGAGATTTTTTTATTGAAGCTGAAACTTTCAGCCTAGATCTAGGAGAATCTATAAACTTTTAAGGAAATTTAATTTGGTAAGGTGAACGAAGGGATTAAAGAGAGTTCCTGGGTAAATTTTGGGCTCAAATAGATACTGGCAAACGACGGCCAGTGGTAGTAAATAGTTGTGTACAGCGACCAGTGATCAGATTTTATGTTTAAAATGGCTACTGGCATCTAGTTACAAAGAAGGAAAAGAGGGTTGAAAGAGAGGGAACATAGAAAGAAAGGGGAAAAGAAAAATGAGTTGAAAAAAAAAGCTTTTATAGTTAAAAAAAAAAAAAAAAGGCAAGATTCATGCATGGATTCAGATCTGAATCCAGATCGTACATTCAACCTGCTTCAACCCTTGATTGATTAGCCATTGACCAGTTCAATTGAACTATTTGTGAACCCAAAAAGTCGGATGGTACTGGACTAAATCGTTAAAAACAAACCCAAATCGAAGAAAAATTGCTTCCAACCTCCTAAATCATTCCTCAGACTGTTGATTGGCATTAACAGATCCTTTTTGGGTAATTTTTTTTATTTTTTAAGTTATTTATTATCTATGCATATTTATATTTTAAATTTCGAAAATAAATATTTTTTATGAAATAAAAAACTAGTGTTAAAAGATCTAGTAAATTTTTTTTCCAAAAAAAATGTGTAAAGGAAAACAAAAAATGAAAATTTTCCAATGATGAGATATTAAAGAAGTCCGAGTAAAAATGCCTTAAAGATTTATAGCTAAGGATATTTTTCTAAAATACTATCAAAGTATTAGAGTATTTAGAAAAATATTCAAGACAAAATATTTTTATTTACTTATTAATTTAAAAAAATTAAAAATGAAAGAAAAAATAAGTTTTTTTTAGGAATAAAGTTATATATTATAACACATAAATATTATTTACATTAATGAATTAAAAGAAAAACAAATTCAAACCTCCAAGTATAGGATTCTAAAGAAATCCAAATAATAATTTCTAAGAAATTTTAGATAAAAAAATTTCTTCTAATATTACTAACATATTGGAACATTTTGAGAAATTTTCAATTAAAAGTTCTAAGTTATTTTTTTCAAATAAAAATGAAATAATAATTTTTATTAAAAAAGAAGAAAATCTTGTGAAGAAAAATGAAATAAAAAAACCAAATTTATGGCAATTAAAGGGAGTCCAAAAAATTAATTGTAAATATTAAAATTAAAATCATTTTATTAAAATTAGATGATAACATATAATTAATTTGTACCATTTTTAAAATGGACACTATGAGATACTAATTATTCTTCTTACATAATTGCATTCTTAAACCTAAACTGTTTTTGCAAACTAAAAAATTATTTTTAATATAAGTTATAATTAATTTTAAAATTTCATTAACAAGATAAATTTTATTAAGTGGATAACTATTCCTAACCAAAAATAATTGATGATAACTATTTATATTTTAAATTCATTTAGCGACCTTCAAAACCATTATGACATAAGTCAACATATTCACATATTTTCAAATAAGGTGTTGTACTGGTTCATATGAATTCCAAAAGACAAAATCTAGCTTGAATTAATTTATTAAAATAACCCTAAGCCGATGGTAAGTCATCCTCTTATGAAAAATGACCATTAATTTTCTTTTGACCATAAAAGGTTCCTCACAATTCCTAACATTAATAGTATAAGCATCAGATGCTACCTCTCCTAAATGTGGGCATGAGGCTTATTGTTATCATTAAGTATTAATGAAACTATATAAGAGGGGGAATGTGATTCTTCCGTTGAAAAAAAATGACGAAATAGTAATATATTTCTCGGTTGCATAACTTCTTTTATAATATGGGTTGTCTAAGCTAAACCTAGGAAAATTATTTTATAAATTGCTCTATAAGATTTAAATTTCAAGAATGAGTTTAACGGGAATAAAAATTTTGCGTGAAACAAAAAGTTAAAATTTCATTTGTTTTAATTTTCAATACGAATATGAATTGTGGAAGCATGAATAATTTTCAGATGTACTACGTTATATTTACTATAATTATCTAATAGGCATGTATTTATTAAGCAACATTTGTGTAATTCATAAAATCCATAACTAACGCTAGTGTATAAAATATAATAGTTTAAAGCCAAAGTTTTGTAAATAATCGATCTCCTTGTAAAAGTATTAATGGGCTGGGAGTGGTTGTAGTTATGCATTAGCTTTACCCAAGTCTTCATAAGCACCAAGTCACTGCCATTGAGCCCAAAACAGACTACCTCTCCTCTTGGCTGTAGTATTGTTAAAGTGCCATTGATGTGAAGTAATGTTGAACAATCCTTTGACGAAGTAAGCATGGCGTTTGGCATACGTACCACTAGCGGCCTTTAATTTATTTCGTTTGCATTTCTGCCAATTTTCAATTTTTTTTGGCTCTTTTGCTTTTGGTGTTATTTGAATCTCAGCAATATTGCTTCTTTACAATTTCAAAGCTTTGGGTCGTGATGCACTTAGCACAATGATGAAGTAATAACGTTAAAGCCTTACAAATTAAACGTAAAGGTGTCATGGATCATAAATACTGTTCAGTTGGGTACTAATTAAATAATCAAAATTACTGCAGATGTTTCATGTGCTTTTCTTTTTCTCATATGTTTTTCGTGTTTTCCCCTTACTATTATTGTATAGTACTCTTCATATAATTAAAGTACAAAGAAAGCTTTTATGAACAAAAGTTTTACTCGAAGATGCTTTCACTTCTTCAAGTAAAACCATCCATTATGGTAGAGAAGGAAATAACGCAACAAATTTACCTGTCACATGGGGTTTTAGTACGCAATCTACTCATGTCTAGTTGGAGAAAAGATTTTACGAAACGGTTTATTAAATCAAATTCCTTCTTTGTCGTAATGATGATATTTGTAAGATTTATCGTAAATTTGTTTATATTGTGATATTCGTAAGATTTGCTTTCATTGAAATAGTCCGCATTGACTATTCTGATATTTATGCAGTATTAAACTCACTTAAAGTGGCTGTGAAGCATTGGGGACAAATATGTTTTAAGGTGTAAGAGTGTAAGATCTATACTTTTATTGTTATTGAAAAAAAAAATAAAACCATAATAAGGATATGTCTTAGCCGTACATGAAATAATACTTTTGCTCATATTTTTGAATAACTTAAATATATTTTTTATATTTACAATCATCAAAATTTAAATCCTAATTATTAACATTAAAATTTTAAAATTTTATCGATAGATTACACCCATGAGATTGCAAGCTCAACTTTCTTATTCTACCATTGAACTTTAATCATGTAGTGCTATGTTCTTAATTTCACAAAATGTTCGTTGGATGACTTCAGTGTGAATTAATGTGACATCCAAATTTGCCATGAACATTGTACTGAAGCTTGACTTTCATGATTATGGTTCACATTTGCATATTCATGACATGGATTAACCACAAGCTATCTGTCCTTAAAAAGTTAATATAAATCTCTAGGTTTTATTTTCTAATTACAGGATCAGGATTGGATTAAGCTACCACACACCTTAAAGTTCCCTCTCAGGCACACTTAGTGAGGTCAAGTACAGGTGATCATGACCAATAACTCTATAAATAGTCCACCTTACTCTACTCAACAGCAATCAACAATCTTAATTAAGAGGGAAGCAACTATCCCGATCTTCGCACTTGTCAGTATAATTTCCTCCCCTCTCTGTTCTCTACTTCTCTTCCATTTTCAACGTCAAAAACTAGCATCAACATGAAAAATCCTAGTGGAAGATGTAAGACCTTGCTTGTTCTTTTACCCATTTCAGCGCTTGTTTTAGTCCTTCTATCGTCCGTGGCTCTTCAAAAAAAGAGCCCCAAAACTACAAATATACTGCAGTTTCACGTCCACAATCATCTCCAAGCTGCTTACTCAGCATGTGAAGGCACCTTATATCCAGACCTTTGCGTCTCCACCACTTCTGTTCTCCCAGATCTCGCCTCCAAATCACTCCCGGAGCTCGTCTTAGCCATCTTGAACCAAACCATGTATGAGGCCAGACTCTTTTTTGCAAACTTCACCAACATTGAAAGTAGGTTCCCAAGTTACAACACATTAGAAGAGGCAGCAATAAACGATTGCCTGGAGCTTGCTGATAACACCCTGGCGGAGCTGAAAGCAGCCCTCGCTGATCTCGCCCCGGAGAGATTAGCAGTCTCCAAGAACTACCACGAATTGCAGACATTTTTAAGCGCAGCAATGACGAACCAGTACACGTGTATTGATGGGTTAGCTCATAGCAAAGGAAATGTTGGGAACATTATCAAAAAGGGTCTGCACAACATCTCTCATCACGTCAGCAACGCTCTTGTCATGCTTAACAAAGTCCGTGGCGTCAATAAATCCAAATCCAAATCCGAGGTTTTCCCTGGATACGGACGCGAGAAAAAGGGGTTCCCAACATGGTTATCCTGGAAAGATCGAAAACTTCTACAGGCTTCAATTAGTGAAACCAAGTTCGATCTGATAGTTGCCAAAGATGGCACTGGAAACTTCACTAGGATCACCGACGCTGTAGCCGCAGCTCCAAAAAACAGTGACACAAGGTTAATTTAGTTAACAAATTTATAATGCTATAAAAAGTTAAATTGAGAACATAAATTAAGAGCCTAATGAACTTATTAATGCTGCTGATTTGTTGAAATTAGGTTTGTGATATATATCAAAACCGGGTCTTATTTTGAAAACGTAGAGGTGGAAAGGAAGAAGAAAATGCTGATGTTTGTGGGAGATGGGATCGGGAAGACAGTGGTGAAGGCTAGCAGAAATGTCGTCGATGGCTATACGACTTTCCGTTCTGCAACAGTGGGTGAGTTTGAAATTTTCAAAGAACTTAACAAATTGTTTCTTTTTAGTCTAATTTTTACGCAAACTTTTAGCTACTATAATATTTAATGCTTTGCTCATGCTGATGTGCCCACTCAACTCTTTTTTTTTTTACCTCCTGGTAATGATTACCATTATCATTTAAGTGATGCATGTTATGATATAACACCCGGTCGAGGTGGGGCTCACAAAGGGTGGCCCTGCTGCTGTTTTCGGCTTTTTATCATGGACCAGTATCAATGCCTATTTTTCTTCAACAATAGATTTTACCTGTTTTTTCAATTTGTGTCCTAAAATTTGTACTTAATGTTTAGCAAACATCCATTCATCAAATGATTTTAAGTTAAAAATAATGAAAAGTATTAATTTTACTAAAGATTTTTTACAAACTAATATTGCGAGATGCAAGGGATTATAACTGTATAATTGATTATATATATATATATATATATTTCCTAGTCAATAATCAATTGTTTGTCTTGCTTAGTAAAATTTTCTCCGAATGCTCTTCAAAAGAATATCGGTGAAAATATTTCCTGTAAAACTGCTTTCTAATGAAAACCAAAAAAAAAGAGGAAGCATTTAAGATCTTTCATTTTAGCTGTTTGACCTAAATAAAAAAAAATCAAATTATAAGTTTTATGTATTTTTAGTTTTATATTTTACTTTTTATATTTTGAATAAATTATTAAATTAAAATAATAAAAAACAATTTTTAAAAATTAATTAAAATTAATTCGATAATTAATTAATCAATCAATTTAAATTGATTCGATAAAAATTAATTCGTATAAAATAAAAATATAAACTTATCTAATTGCAGCGCGTGGACCATGGATCATGGTCTAACATGTAATGCAGAGAGCGCCAGCCCCTAAGTCATCTGTATAGGAGAGTGACCATCAGTCATCAAAAATTAAGTCGCCGAATACTGATAGGGAAAGATATTTCACTGCCGTTGTTTTCAATTTTGATTTGTGTCGGTACCTTAGGATTAGGACACCCATCTCTCCTGATAAATGGAAGCACGTTAATTACTGATTTTATCGGGGATAAAGAATTTTGTCTTCAATTTCTTTTATTTAGAACATCATCCATTATTCCATTTTTATTGCAATTAGTAACATGTCACAATAATCCCTTAAAAACTTTGGTAAAAGTATATATAAAAAATTCAACAACTCCACAGTCGCCCACTTGCTAAGTGGGTCTGCTCATTGATTTGTTTATCTTCCCTCTTGGATCCCTTTTTTTCTTTTTTTTGGCTTTGACCATTGAGAAGGTTCTCCAACTAATTAAAAGTCTACTTTTCTTTTCGTGGTTTTGTTTCGATGTCTTCCAGCTGTGGTGGGGAACGGATTCATAGCAAAGGGGATAACCTTTGAGAACACAGCAGGTCCGACTAAGCACCAAGCGGTGGCTTTCAGGAGTGGATCCGACCTCTCTGCATTCTACAAGTGCAGCTTCGTTGCCTACCAGGATACCCTCTACGTCCATTCCCTCAGGCAATTCTATCGCGAATGTGACATTTACGGGACAGTTGACTTCATCTTTGGCAACGCAGCTGTAGTTTTCCAAAGCTGCAATTTATTTGCTCGTAAACCGAATCCAAAGCAAAAGAACGCTTTCACAGCTCAAGGAAGAGAAGACCCAAACCAGAACACTGGGATTTCAATTTTGAACTGTAAGATTGCTGCTGCTGCGGATTTAATCCCGGTAAAATCATCGTTCAAGACGTATTTGGGGCGTCCCTGGAAAAAGTATTCCAGGACAGTTATTATGCGTTCATACATTGATGATTCGGTGGATCCTGCTGGATGGTTAGAATGGAATGGGACATTTGCTTTGGGAACCCTTTTTTATGGGGAGTATTTGAACAGAGGCCCCGGGTCGAGCACGAGTGCAAGAGTAACATGGCCAGGTTATAGGGTCATCAGCAGCTCGTCTAAGGCAAGTCAGTTCACTGTTGGAGCATTTATACAAGGAAATGAATGGTTAAATTCTACTGATATTCCATTCTCTCTCGGTTTAAGTTGAAAATTGATAGCTAAAATTGATACGTCCTTCTTTTTTTGTAAGTAATTTGTTTTCGTGTTGGCCATCGCATGTCAAATCGCGTTTTTCTAGTATAAACAATAAAAAACTTTAGGTTAGGAAGATTTTGCTCTGTTTATAAATAGTTTGCAATTCATTTAGCAGTTACCGACATCGTCATTGTTAAATGCAAAATTTAAAATCTAAATTCTCCGACCAAAGAAGCTTTCGTGTGGATGGGCAGTGGCATTGGCCATTGGGATTCAGTAATTAGAACAAATTGTAGAAGTGGGTTCAACGGTGAAAGATTCCCGCCCTGTGTTCAATTTTAATTGGGCTTCATAGTACTTGACCTATTGGGCTGGTCTCTCGAGATTATCCCCATATATGTCTGAGAATTGGCCTGTATAATTTAACTCAAGTGTCGACTTTCGTTATTGAGAGTAATATGTAGCCCAAATTTTCTCTTCCACTCTTAAAAATGTAAACAAATTAAATATAAATAAATTTTACTATATTTATAATTTATTCATTTAATTAATAAGTTTTGAAAGATTGAATTTTGAAATATTATTTTTATCATTTGTTAAATTTAATAAATAAAAATAAACGAATAAAAATCAAATTTATTTACAAACTATTTGTAAAACATTTTATTTACATCTTTTAATTTAAAAAAAATAAATTTTATTATGTTTGTTATCTATTCATTTAATTAATAAATTTTAAAATATTATTCGTAATTATTTATTAAATTTAATAAATGAATATAAATAAATAAAAATAGAATCTATTTACGAATTATCTATCAAATTAAAAATGCTAAAATGGCACTTATTGTCCATATTGCAAAAACTGACCACACGGTAAATTTTTGTCCAATTGGAAAATTTTTGGCTATGTCGAATTTTTCTCTTTTTTTTTTTTTTTTGTTTTTTTCATCATGGCTTTTCTCTTTCCTTTTATTCATTTCCTTTCTTTTAATTCCTTTTCGTTCCATTTCTTCTCTTTCCACTGCAAGGGAGGAGGAAGAGGCTCGAAGGCAACCCTTGTTGGAATCCCAAACACTGAAATCAGCATATCCCATCACCCCGAAAGGGGAGCAACACAAAACATAATTTCATAAAAAAGCCAAAAATCGCAAGCATGAAAGAAAAGAAGTTTCCGGTTTAGGCTAGTTTCAAAGAGGTTTTGGGGCTTTATTTTTGGATGAAAGGAAGGTTAAAGGCAAAGGAGCAACATAATGAGAGGTGCTGGTGTTTGGAGCAACGAAAGGGAACTTTTTGGAGAAAAAGAGTCACGAAATTTCGGTTTAGATCTAGGTTCTTCTAGGGAAACCTAAAGAAGTCAACTATTATGTCAAAAAGTCAACTTCCACGCCAACCATAGAAACGACAATAGTAGTTGCCCCTGTTAATAATTTTATTAAATTCTACAAGTAATTTATGCAAAGGGATTCAATTTGAACTGATCATAGTGGAGGGATTAATTCTATCATTTTATTAAAGTACAAGAATCATCTATATAATTTGACTTTATGTATTTAATATGTTGATATGAATTAAGATATGATAATTTTTATATTTTATACATAAAATTTAATACAAAATAAATAAACACATATGCTGAATTGTTAAATCTAATGAAATGTTTACAAGATTATTTTATAGGTTAATATATTGACTATCAATTTAGTTATGTATATAAATGGTTGGTCTCTAGAGTTGCTTTTTTATTTATTTATTTGGTTCATTTGCATCAAACACGTGCTTACCATTTTTGCTTGGCAACATGACATGGGTCTTTTCAGTTTTTCTTTTACATAATTCAAAAAATTAAGGCAAACATTTTGTGTCTTTTTACAGTTTTAATCTTTTTTTTATTAACAGTAAATCAAGGGAATAGCCACTTAAATAATGTTGTAGCGCATATAGAATATTAAAAAAAAATCCAATCACTAAAACAAAATTTCGACAAAAATAATTCAATCCCATGAGAAGAAACACACTCACTATAAGAAAATAAGTTTTTAGAAACGAAAATTATCAACGAAATTTTTCGTTGCTAAAAGATATTAATCAACAAATTTCTAAAAATCAAATTTTTATTTTTACCGACGAAATATGTCAGAACCAAAATTACCGACCAAAAGAAACTACGTCACTAAATGTTGCACAAAAATTTCTTGGAATGATGTCATTATTACCACGGAAATAGTGACGGAATTTCTTCAATAATTGTTGCGTCAGCGACAGAATTTTCGACGGAAAATATCGGCTTTAAAAGTCTTTAAATACTTAAAATTCCCGCTTAGACAAAAGTTCTTACATCTTTACAAACCCTCCCCATCTTTCTCTCTCCCCGAGCCCATCTCTTTCTCTGCTCAACCCGCATCTCTGTCTCTGCCCCGATTCCTTGGTGCTAAGTATTTCTGGGGTCGGGATGTTGTTTTTTTTCATATATTTTAATGGTGAATTTTGGTGCTCTGTTTGTAGGGGTATTTAAACTGGTTTCTTACCCAAATTTCAACATGATCAATAAAAAACCTGACTTAGCAAAAAAAAAAAGAAAAGTGGTATGAAACTCAATTGTTCTATTGGAAAGAAGTTTGGCTTGTAATATATATGTGTGTGTGTGTGTGTGTGTGTGTCCTTGTATTCATTTTCATTGTTAATTTATACAATGAATATTAATAATTTATGCTAACATTAAATTGTGTTCTATTTAATGACATTAGTATGATTAATGAATGCAAATGAAGTGCTTGTGTATTTGTATTAGTATACCAATATTGTTGCATTTTTGTATCCTTGTACTCCTTTCCATTGTTAAGCTGAATCTTTCATTGTTAATTTATACAATGAATATTAGCAGTGAAGTGATGGTGCTTGCTTGCTTTCCCTTGTTCGTTGAAGGCTCCTGTTTAGCATGGTGGGGAATATTACATTCGCCTGTTGTGTTTATACAATGAATACCAAAACATACATTTGATTCATTATTATGAATCATCTAACATCAAAAAGTTTCATTAAATTTCAATCAAATTCTTCTCAAGGTTCCTTTTCTATTACATAATAATTTATGCCTATAGTTTATCAATGTGTCTCATGGTTCTTGTAATCTTTTGTTGTTGGACTGTGAAGACATGAGGCCACCACAAACCAAACAGTTTGTTGGTACACATGGATGATAATTTATTAAACTTATATTTCTTCCAAACAGATGTCCAAGGCATTATTGCAAAATCTCAAGTTTCAATCTAAGCATAATCATCTACCCTTAAACCATTATTCTCTCTATTTTTGTTGTTTCTTTTTTGAACATCATCACCATTTCTTTCTGCTGTTCTTCCTATTCAAAATATAGACTCTGTTAATCGTAGACTTGTGAAGTTATACACACATAGAAGCTGCTCTAAGTTGAGTGCTTTGATGATCTGGGTAGTCAGGACAATAAGAAAAAGCAAATCAGATCTAATTTACTGTGTATTTTTAAGTTTGATGTAAATATTTGTTCCTTATTTTCATGTGAAACTGTGTGTCTATGTTATATATAAATATAGTGCCTTTCTATTTGTTGGCTTTTTTTCTTTTTCATTTGAAATTTGTTCTATTTGTAATGATTGTGGGACATCTATCTTGAATATGAGAATGAACTAGTAAAATACCCCCACCTCAATAGACTCTTAAGGCCAGCTTGAGCCTAGCCTCTCTTTTTCCAAGCCATGCCAGCTGATGGTTTTGATTGAATAGCCTAAAACGAAAATTAATCATATGGAGCATTTGATATAATAATAAAATATGTATCTTTGCTTTTGTAGTAGCAATGTTTTATCGACGACTGATAGGATATTAGAGATGGAAGGTTTTGTTGCTAAATGGTTTTATTGCCTGAATTATATAATTAAAACTAATAATATCATCAACGTCTGTTAGTCTGAGTAGTAAGGAGTTCAATTTTTCTTAAGTAAGGTCTCGGTTTTGAATATTGTGAATGGAGAAAACAAGCTGACAGAACTTGTTTCTCTTATATGGTCTGTCTCGGCTCGACTCTAGATTAGTCAAGGCCCAAAGTGATTGTCGGACGCCGGAGGTCTTAAACAAAAAAAAAAAACTAATAATATCTTAAATAACAATAATATTAGTGATGGAATTTTTCATCACTAAAAGCATTATTGATGGAAATTTTGCTAAATAGGAAAAGTACTTTTAGTGATGAAAATTCAGTCTTTAATTATTATTAATGACGGAAATTACTTATGGAAAAATAAATTTAATGATGGAATATTTGTTTTATCGATGAAACATTTAGCTGCTAATGCCCTTATTATTAGCAATAAAATGGTATTATCGATTTCAATTTTTTTGATGGATTTTTAAAAATAAAAATTCATCGCTAAAAATAATTTCAACATTAAAGAGGGCATTACCAATTGAATATTTTGTCAATAATATTTTGTCATAACATACAAGTTTAAAAACTCAATCATTAGACACTAATTAAGAGCCACCACAAAACATTTCTTATTTAAGTATAATTGATCACCTAATAAATCTATCCTTATTAAAGATGTCTTAAACTTGACTTAAGTTATTTAAAAAAATAAGTTCTAATCCACGAAACAAAATCATGCTCAAAAGTATAGTTACATGTAGGAAAAATTATAGCACTCTTATAATACTAATCCAAAAGATCGTACTAGTTGATTTCTTATTATCCAAAACTCTAAACATATTAAAAAATTTACCAAATAAATTAATATTAAAAATTATTCTTAAAATTACTCTAATCGTTTAGTAACAATTTAAAAATATTTTTTCATTTCAAGAGTATTCAAAGAAAATATTGTCATTCTGTGAAGAGGTTTCATCACCAGATTCATTAAAATTTTTAAAAATTTTATTATTTCTTAATAAAAATCAATAAAAACTTTTAATAATTTGGTCAAATCTTATTTTAAAATTTAAATATTCCAATATTTGGTAGGATTGAATTTCTACAAATATTTTAAAGAAGCATTAACCCTCCAATAGTTTGGTAAGATTTAATTTCAAGATTTTAAATCCTCT